TATCAAAAACTTCTTATTGTCTTTGATGGATGTCAGTATAACTGAAGTTTTGATGGTTGCGGCGTAGATAGCTATTCCTATTTTTCCGATTTGTCTTGAACAGGGTATGGTTCAAAGGAAATATTGAAGTCTATTACAGAATCAGAAAGAGCTGGATGTGTGAAGAATCTTGAATCTTAGAACATCTGCCCATTGAACGCGCGCTTGGAATTCAGTGGAATGTTCAATCTGACACCTTCAGATTTAAGATAACTGTGAAAKACAGACCAGCCACGAGGCGTGGTCTCTTATCGCTGATGAGTTCTATTTATGATCCTTTAGGCTTTGTTGCATCTTACATATTACAAGCCAAAGCTACTCTACAAGATTTATGCAGGAGGAAATTGGTTTGGGATGATGTGATACCYCAAGAGAAGATCTTGATCGTTGGCAACTATGGCTTCAAGAACTACCCAAGTTGRAAAACTTCACTATTGAACGTTGTTTCAAGCCGAAAGACTTCGGTTCTGTTGCAACATGACAGTTACATAACTTTTCCGACGCATCTGAGCGTGGATACGGATCAGTTTCATCTAAGACTCGTGGACTGCAATGATAGGATTCATTGTTCATTTGTACTCGCAAAGTCAAGGTTAACGCCAATGAAGAAAATTACAATGCAACCAAWGTAAGCAACATGATTCAACGCGAGTTGGATCTAWCGATTGATGAAGACATCTATTGGACTGATAGCACCTGTGCTTTAGGCTACATTKCAAACGAAGATARAAGAYTTAAGACATTCGTCGCAAACAAAATATCTGTGATTCATGAAAATTCACGGCCAAGTCAGTGGCACTATGTTAACACCAAGTTAAACCCAGCGGATGACGCTTCGAGCGGTTTATCTTCTGAAGAGCTTGTAACCAAGGAGAGATGGCTAAAAGGTCCTGATTTCCTGTGGTTGCCGGAAGACAGTTGTCCTAAACTYCAGACAAACCTCCTTTCAGTGCTTTGGGAGTGGATTGTTTTGGACCTTTTTATGTTAAAAGAGGGAGAAGTCAAGTCAAAAGATATGGTGTTTATATACATGCTTAGCTATAAGAGCCATTCATCTAGAAGTATTACATAGTATGGACACTGACTCATTTGTTAATTCTCTCGTGCGTTTTATAGCAAGAAGAGGCAAACCAGAATCTATCAGATCACATAACGGAACAAATTTTGTCGCCGGTAACAAAGAAATTTCTCAAGCCATTGAGCAATGGAACAGTGAAAAGATAAGTGAAT